CAAGTACGAGCTGCTAAAGGAGGAGGTACAAGATCCTTGGCAATTGAAAAAACTAAAACTGCTGGTGAAATCAGAGTAATAGCAGAAGCCATTTATTTCCCAGATGGACATTCCAGAAGAAAAAAGCTCTCTGACTATCAGACAGAACTCAGAGACTTTGCACAGCGTGAGCTTGACTCTTCCAGCACATTGGAGGCGCTTTATGATCAAACTAAAGTTCGTCTACTTAGATTATATCTTTGCACAAAACTCACCAAAGACGCAGACCAGTCCTCAAACTCTTCTACCTCCCAGTTCTGTGCTTCTCAGCACACTGCTTCCCAGTCCCTTGCTACACAATGCTATGCACTCGAGCCACCTGCCTCACAGGATTTTATCCTTGATCCCCCTACTTTACAATACTATGTCTTCGAGCCACCTACCTCACAGCACTGTGCCCTCGAGCCACCTACCTCACAGCACTCTGCCCTTGAGCCACCTACCTCACAGCACTGTGCCCTCGAGCCACCTACCTCACAGCACTGTGCCCTCGAGCCACCTACCTCACAGCACTCTGCCCTTGAGCCACCTACCTCACAGAACTCTGCCCTTGAGCCACCTACCTCACAGCACTCTGCCCTCGAGCCACCTACCTCACAATGCTTTCTCTTCGATCCACCTACCTCACAATGCTTTCTCTTTGATCCACCTACCTCACAATGCTTTCTCTTTGATCCACCTACCTCACAATGCTTTCTCTTCGAGCCACCTGCCTCACAGCACTCTGCCCTTGAGTCTCATGTGTACATTAATGCTGGCACCCCAGAGGTATATATATATTAATTACTTTTACATAATGCCCTTACAACTACTTTATGTTGAATTCAACTGACATAATTTCAATATTGTCTTCTAAACATATGGATGATATATTTTTTCAGGTATTCTACAGACGTTTTCTCAACACGTCAACAATAGACAGGTATTTCATAACTTCCAGTGTTTGTTGCCAGGCTACAATCATTGATAATCATGGATAACTTGTGGCTTCCAATGTTACAAGTAAAAGTCCTGCAATAACATTTTTACTAAATATAAATAAAGTAAAAGTACCTCAAAATTGTACTTGAGTATGTACCGTTATGCAAATACAGTAGTCTGTTCCCAATGTAATTTTATGAACATGCTCCATACAGTACTGAGCTGGAGAGCAATTTGGATGACACACTGCCAATTATTCTTCAATGTATTAGTCCAGTCCTCCAATTACATCCTTCATTGTACATTTCCTTTGACAAATATATAGTATGGAAGTACTGTATTGTATATATACAGTACTCAGTCATTAATGTCTTTGAACCCTAAATGTTTACTGAAATAAATAACTTAACAATAGGTGTTTAAGACTTCAGATGAGTGTTTTAATCACTGTTGGTGACACAGACCCACTAACTGTATATCAGCAGGCTAGAGAGCAGACAGCAGACACAGCAGGAGACAGACCAGAAGATGGCCTGACCTACACATCACTGAGGTATACTATCTACATTGAGTGTCAGTTATAACTAAGAAATAAATATTCCTGCTTATTTTGTCCTTATTGAGTTAATTGACTCATTTTTATTTGCCTTTCACTCTTTACTTGATTTGGTAGTGACATTTTAGAAGACAGTGATCCTGAGGAAGAAATTGAAATGCTGTCATCTCCTCGCCCTGACAGTCCAGTTAGTGTGAGTAATGGCCATCTAGATTAATAGTAGCACATGTTTCTGTTTGTGTTCGAGTTGTCAAGGGGGTGACCAGAGCAGTTAGAATTAGAAACCAATTTTACTGACTGAGAAAGACTCCTTACCTATAGGCTCTTGATGACCTTGTTGAAGTTTTGAATGACTTCAGACAAACCAACACCTGTGACTACACTACTTTGACAGTGGTGGTCAGAAGAAAGCGCATTTTTAAAAGTGCCATTACTGCACTAGGTAATGTTCTTATAATTCTTTTCAGTTTAGGTATGGAGAATCCCCTTTACTTTTAGATTGGTCCTCAATGGCAGCAAGCTGTTACGGTTGAGATTGTATTTTCGGACCCAAATGCAGACAACGGAGACAGGAAGTAGTGAAGTAAAGATTTATTGTACAAACTGGTGCTGGAGGGTTAAGTGGATGAGATGAGGGGGGTTACAGGTAGGTAGGTAGGCAGGCAGGCAGACAGGCAGGCAGGCAAGCAAGCAAGCAGGCAGGGAAGGAGGGTCAAATAGAGCCGCCGTGGAGGAACTCAGGAGAACACAAGCAAAACACAGCAGAGTGGAACGGTGCTGGAGATCTCTGTGGAATGCAACACCATCAAGTCACTGTATAGGATGAAATAATCTAGCGCCAAAGTGTTGGGGAGACCAGACAGATATAGCCTCTTATGTGTGCCAATCTGCTGTTGCTGCTGCAGCTGCTGCCACACACACACACACAGAGACACACACACACACACACACACACACACACACACACACACACACACACACACACACACACACACACACACACACACACACACACACACACACACACACACAGAAGGAGCAGGTGAGGGAGAAAGGAGGGGGGAAAGGCAAAACATAGAAAACACAAACAGGCTGCCACAGCAGCACCGTGACACAAGCTAAATTGATGAGAATATAGGGTCATGTATTTATGATTGTTACCTTATTCAGATTGATTATGCAGTCACTATGGGTAAGACTACACCATCATCACTTTTTCAGGTAAAGATTACTTTGATTGGCACAAGCGCCCGAAAATTAAGTTTGTGGGTGAACAGGCAGAGGACCTTGGTGGGCCAACAAGAAAAATGTTCAGGTATGACATTGATTATGATTTTTTTATACACATACACACTCTTCCAAAAATGTAACTCAAATATAAGAAGACAATGTTTTAAAAGCAATTCCTCCCCATTCTGCCTTTATGAAGTAGACTACTGGTAGGCACCTTGTTACTAACCAAAACTATATTATTATTTTTGTGTTAAAGGCTTCTGATGAAGGAGGTCCATTCCATTGGAGTCTTTGAGGGACAGGAAGGAAACCTCTTCTTCACATATAATCAGTCTGCCTTAGATAAGAAATCTTCTTACACAGCAGGAAGACTGACTGCCTGGTCTCTCACGACAAAGTCTGTATTCTCCAAGGATTCTGATAAGATGCCTCTGGCTTAAAATGAAACCATATAAGGCTATGCTTCTAAGTATTTCTTTATGACACATACCTAAATTAAAGAAGAAAATGATGAGACTGTCTTGATCCATTACAATAGGCCTGCATTCACTGCTACTGCTTTTCTGTACTATCTGCGAGATAGTAAAGGAAGGAAAATTCCTCTTTACTCCTTAAAATTCCTCACTTATTATAAGTCGCGCCTGCGAGATAGTAAGTCGCGCGTGCAAGATAAAAAAAAAAAACATCCATGTCACCTCCAGGGCTCTGTACATTACAGATAAAACCTGCTCACATGAATAAGTTGTCACAAACACACAGAGTCTTTGATGCAAAGACCGAAGTCATCTTCATCTTCATCTTCAGCGTTGTGCACTGCAGTCTGATCAGCTCCGTGTGGAGTGCACGTTTTTCAACTTAGTAGACTCAGTTAAACCACTTTTGATATGAGTCTGGCAGTCCATTCTTCTCCGTGTCCGCACTATCGTGATCTAACTCTGTCACTGACTATTTATGCGCCATGAATCTGTGCCATCTCCGTGCGCAATTCGAGAAAGCATTTTAGCGCTGCTCCTCGGTTAAACCAGCGGACCTCTGTATGATCGGACAGCCTGTGCGTGATATCGTTTTTGGATAAGAATTAAATGTTCAGTAATAGTTACATATTTACAGTCTGATGAAAGCTACAGCAGGCTACTGCATTTAGAAGTGATGTCGCGCTGAAACTTTTAGGTGATCAACACAACACGTTCACCTCTGGGTGACCTAAAAATGAACCATCTGTAATTAAAATCAGTTAATATTCATTTTAATTTACTGTTTTTACAATAACCAGAGGTAAAACTAGTCGGGAGATGCATCAGGCTCAACGTCTGGATGTGTGGAGACGGTCTGGGTTATTACGCATGGCGGAGATGATTGTTTTTTATTTGCACGAGCTGCTCTTTGTGGCTCACTCCATAGGAAGCTTTGTTATTATCACCCAAAACTTTTATTTTACATCAGTGAAGACAGGAGAAGCTGGTAAGAAGTCCCGTAGCTTTGATACGATTCTGACAACTTGTGAGCAAATAAAACTAAAGAAATATCGCTCCTTCGATCTCTCTTGAAATTGCATTCTGTGACACCTCTCTCAGGTGTTCAGCCTGTTTTCTGATGTGATGTATTACCAGCGTAATGCAGGAGCAGCTCGTGCTACTCCCTGCTGAGAAGATAGTTCAAAGTGCCCAGTTTAATTAATATTGGTATCATGATATCAACCTTTACGTTGCTCATTTTACATAGGTTTTAATACAATTTAAAAAAAGTATTACAAATATTTAATTTATAAAAAATCTCAAAATGTTTTTCAATACATTTCCTTCTTCTTCCCAAAACGTCTCACGGGCCGGATGAAACCTGTTGTTGGGCCGGATACGGCCCGCGGGCCTTATGTCTGACATCCCTGCATTAATGAATGGTTTGTGTGTTACGTTTTCAACATCCGCAAAGCTCATGCAAGAAAAAAATATTTTCCCCAGATATCTGAAGATTACAGCAAACTTGTTATTCACAGACAGATTTCCATCTAGTCACTAGTGTTTGTAAAGTTGATGTTTCCGATGGAGAACAAATACTGATATTAAAATTATGACTTTTTTGTATTACAGTCTGTTGGTCTTAGATTTTATAATTCTAAAAGTGTCATTGCTGCTTCTCGAGTCGTTGCTCATGACTAAATAACCTAGCTAAAGTTACTATTCAGTTTGTGTGTGTGCGTGTGTGCGTGTGTGTGTGTGTGTGTGTGTGTGTGTGTGTGTGTGTGCGTGTGTGTGTGTGTGTGTGTGTGTGTGTGTGCAGGTGAAGCGTGTGATGAACGGAGTGTTTCACTCTCTGCGAGGAGAGTTTGACGTCAGCGAGTCTTACAGCGGTCAGGCGGTGCTCGGGGTGATTGTCACTACCATTAAGGTAAGTTCACTTTGTAGTGAAAAGCTGAAGAAGATGTCTGTCTGTAGCTGTGACATCTTTAACATGGACTGAAGTCATGTGACTTTACAAACATATGTTCATGGTTGGATGAAGTAACATGTAATGAAGATAATAAAACTAAACTCAGTTGGGACACTAGTCTGTTGCTTTCCACTGGATTCACTCAGGTGTGTCGGCCAGAACACCACTTCAGGCCTTATTCAAGAATATGAATAACAAGAGGGCAGATTTGGTTGAATGGCTGTTTACTTCTTCCTCATAGTGAAACAAAATACAGGCAACTCTGTGGCCATTCAATATGACAGAGTATTAGGTCTTGTTGTGGTTTTTCTATGAGAAAAAGAATAGCAGAATATATACTTAAGGAACACATCTGAATGCTTCATCTTACCTCTATAATAACATACAAAACACTATACAGTAATGTAATAGGTTATAATATGTAAATAAATAAAGGTAAGCTACATGTCTCTTTAACCTAAAGTATTAAGCACAGAAAGGCTACCGTAGGCTTAACAGTCATACAATCATTTCTCTATAAAAATACTACGATGCTTTTATTGTGAAGCACGGACATCAAACTTTCCTCCTCGTGCAGAGAGCAACACAGTTAGCAAGCATGTCGGGCCGTGACGTCGGCTAACTAGCATATCCAGAATACACCAAACATCTAAGCTCTAAACTCTGGCTCCGCAGGAGTTAACAACTTTGCCTCAACATTAAAGAACACACAATGTCACATATAAGACTTCAGGTAAGTACTCACTCTTTTCATTCACGCACAACCAACTTATGAAGTGATTACTCTGCACACTGATGGCTCATCTGTCATCGACTGATGCACACTGCTCATTACTACATGATGTAATTCGCTAAAATGACCAGCAGGTGACACCTCTTCCCTATTGAGCACAATATCATCACATTAAACTGAACAGGAATCAAACACTATTGTAACATAAAGCAAAAACCTTAACATGTAACTTTGGGGCCTTTTCTACATAACATTTCTTGTATCTAAAACAAATACAGTGAACTCCTGGAGTATTGGGACACTGACATCCTTTTGTTTTTTTTTGTTTCTGTGCTCCACCATGATGGACTTGAATTAAAACAACCAGTTTGTGTTAAAGGATCAGACAGTCAACTTTAAATTGAGGGTATTAAAGATTTAATGGTTATACTTTGCGTTAAGCAATTTCAACTTCCATGGACGGGACAATAACACAGCTGTAGTGGCTTGATCTTGCGTATCAAAAGTTTGCCACTGAGGGGCTGATAGCCTACCGTACTTAATTGACGCGCTGTTTCCGTGTTTCGTGGCAATAACTCAATCAACTCTGTGCTGTCACACTCAAAACGGGTTTATCTGAATCGTTCATTTACATATTCTGGTTGTCTACATACACTTATTCCACTATAACATGAATGTAAAACAAAGCCAGGATAAATGTTCCATTCACGATACATTTCAACAGCGGTCAAAAACTGTGTGCCTCTCACGGTGGGCTGCTCACCTGTCCGTGATTAACTCTTCCTCTACTTGTAACCTTCCCAACACCAAAGTGAATGTGCCCACTACTGTCACCACAAGGAACTACCACAGAGCACACATACATACTGAACACACAAATGGCTCTAACAACAGCTAAGAGACAGCTATGTGATGTCTGTGAGCCACAGGGAGAACGTGAAACCACATGGATGAAAGTGAAGCAGCCAACATGGCCGACAAAAAGCAGCAGATTCAGAGCAGAGAGACGTTCTCCATCCAATCACATTGTAATGTCCTCCAGTATAAGAGCTGAGCCTCAGGTAGCTTTGCAGCCTTACCTGTGTGCAGTCAGGACATTTCAGAGCCCGGACATTTCACTTTTTAATGGAGTGAAGAAAATGAATCACTTCCTCTACATTTACCCGTCTCTTTTTTCTAAACAAGTATCTGTACTTCTGCTTGATAAAGATCGTGTGTGTACTCTGCTGCCACGTTTTGGTTCTTCCGTTATTAAAAGTGGTTCACATGTTGTGTTCAACACTCTTGCTTTCTCATTTTTTTTAAACTGAAAATGTAATACAGTTGTACAGAACCAAAATCACAATACAGGTTAAAGTTTGTCACTGTCCAAGTATTCATAGAGCCGACTATGACTAGTTAGTGTAAACGCATGAAGCATTTGTTACCTACTTTAAGTTTTCTTGGCTTTTTCAATTGAATCAACAAATGTATTTTTTGTGCAGAATGTAACCCTGCAGCTGCTCAGTGGAACAGACAGACCGTCACAGAAACCGATTAAGAGTGAAGAGGAAGCAGAGAAGGAGGAAGAAAGTGAAGATGTGAGACAAAGAGAGGAGACTTGTCAGCAGCACGTCCATGTGAATGGAGGGAGAGAAGAGAAGGAGGAGGAAGACGAGCATGAGGATGATTCTAACAGAGTGGGCGAGACTGTGAAGGATCAGGAAGTATCAACAGAGAAGCAGGCAGAGGCAGCAAGTGAGTCAAAGACACAGGCAGAGACTTTAGAGAAAACTGATCCCAACCCAGCTTCAGCCGCTGAACCCAAACAACCAGAGACACCAGCAGCTGAGGCTGCAGCAGAGTCTACAGTACAAGAGGAGCAGGTGGAGCTCTCTTTTCCAGAAACCTCTACAGAGGAAAAAGACACCAACAGGTCTGCAGAGTCACAAGATGAACCTGAAGAGAGACCTCCACCTGCAGACCGACAGGAAAGTGTGTCAGAAGTAAAAGCTGCAGCGAGCAGCGAGATGAAGCAGGAGTGTGTGGAGGACAGAGAGCACGAAGGAGAAATACAAGCTGACTCTCAGAAAGCTTTTTCACCCCCGGTTAACCCCCCTCCACCCCCGAACGCCCTTCAAAAGAGCTCAGGAGAAGACGTGAGGTGAGTCCTGCAGCTGTCAGTAAAACCTCCAAAATGTTCAAGCCCCCAGCCTCCAGTGATTCCAGTGAATCACCGGTGTGATGGAGGTGATGCAGACTAACACTCTGCAGGGAGGTAACCTTTCAACTACAGGAGATTTATTTATAGATTATTAAAGGGCAAGCATCTGGTCTAAAGAAGACTATATCTGTGAAAGAATAAGAAAGTAAAAAGGAAATATTCCAGTGTATATATTTAAAAAAGATACAAAAAGGAGGAAACATGATAACATAGGGAAAGTATTTTCATTTATTTTTCAACTTTATTTGTCCAATTCTTTCTATTTTAAATGATATTAGGGCTGTCAAATTATAAATAAATAAAAAATCTGGATCAATTGCTGAACATCAGTTGTTAATTGCAATCGATCACATTTTTTATCACACGTTAAAAATTGAATTATTTTGCATTTCAAATCTGTTTTTAAGTCCATATGCACGATGTAAAGCAGTTCTTACCAGTGTCTTGATTTTGCAATTAAATATTTGTAAATAAATGTACTTTATGACCTTGACTTTTAGATTTATTTTGTAAATAAATGCTGCATTGCTACAGCAGTGTGGTGTGACATCATGACTTCTTGTACAAAGTCTAACACTGTTATAAGAAGTGTGCATGTAAATGGACTTGAGCTTGTTTAGTACTACTCTTCTTTTACACTGCAGGCCACACCTACATTTGAATGTATTTGTTTAATAGGGACGATGCAGTTTAACATATTTTCAATACAGAGCATGTAACTGATGTGCTGCACACAGAGTTTATACTATTGCTTATTTACAACTCTTGTCCCTAGTTGGCCTTCAGGTAAATAAAAATGTAAAATGTACAACATTCAATCGAATAAAACCACATCACACTATTATGAGGAAACATTAAAATACATATACAACAATATGACAATAGAAAATCCTAAAAAACAATTAAACTGACAGATTTAAGATATTCTATCCACACACTGATGGCAGAGGCTGCTCTGTGAAGTGTCCATCAGATTTAAATAATCCATTCATCCACATTTACATGCCGTGAACAAAGCAGCAAAGCAACTTGGGGTTAAGAGTCTTGCCTAAGGAGGACACTGCGGACATGTGGCTGCAGGAGCTGGAGATCGAACCTCCAACCTTCTGGTTGAGAGATGACCGACTCTACCAACTGAGTCACAGCCAACCCAAGTACGAAATGAGTCACTGAAGTCCTACTGTATCATCCCCGGTTAATGGGACAGCATTTGCACTTTTCAGGATGTCCAGTTTAGTTGCTTTCTCTGTGTCAGTACTGTGAAGCAGTCATAGAGTCAAATAAACCAGCACAGTGGTGTCGTTATTTTTTTTTTACTGCGGGAGCAGGATGATGCTTCAGTGACTTAAAGATGGTTCCCCTGAAGGGACAAAATAGAACATCATTGATGGAATTACAAAGAAATGACCACGTTCATTTTGGACTTTAATTGCGTCTCTTGTAGTGTGTAGATTCAGCCACCAGGGGGCTCTCAATTAATCCAACAATAACAAAAGATAACGTTGATGCTGGCGGGGAATTATGGGAGTTCTCTCTCCTAGTGTCTGTCATGGCGGCCACCTCAACAAGACACGTCCCGTTACAACCATAAACTTACATTGTAATACAATTCTACATATTGTACGTTTAAATCTATAAAATGAAATATATTCATATCTTCAAACACGTAAATAGAGATATACTGTACATGTGAGCGGGGGAGAGTCTGACAACATGTGCCAGTATTACTAACATGTTTATTTCATGTAATGTGACCACAGATGTAACATATTTGTGCCGCCGTCTCTAAAAATGAATGCATGATTCCCTTCAAACTAACCACCTCTATGAACTGCTGTTTCCTGCTGCTTTCTGCCTCTTCTTCCTCTTCTCCCCTGCCCCCTGTCCCGCCCACCCCTCTGCCCCCGACTCTTTTATTTCTGCTATTCTCTCAGTCTGACTGGGGGAATGGGTGAGGAAAATGGAGAGGAGCCATTTTTCCAGAACACAAATCCTGCCAAACCCCCCGCAGCTCCCAGTGAGGAGGAAGAGGAGGATGAGATGGTGAGAACGGATCTGTAGGGTGAAAGCTCTGAGGTTTAGTCCAGCACTCTGCATCCCTTCCCCTTGTGTTTTGTTTCAGTGTTGAGTCTGTCTTTTTGCTAAATATTCAGTAAAAAATAATGTGTCGGCTAAATCTCTAAATGAAAGTTAAAAGGACACATTCATGTTATTTCTCTGCTGTCCCTCCAGAGTCTGAAGGGCCGCCCACCCCCCGCCCCTCTGTTTGGTGATGATGAGGAGGAGGATGATGATCTAGACTGGCTGAACTGAGCTGTATCCAGGATAAAATCAAAGTCTGCGTCTTCATTTCCAGCATATATAAAAAGGCGCATGGTTCCTTCTGCAGCTGTGTCTGCCCTGTGGGAGCAGTGAAGATGACTGGGGCGGCCTCTGCGGCTGGATCTGATTGGACGGAGCAGATCTGAGCGCCCTCCTCTTCGTCTAAGAGTCGTCCTGCTGACTGACAGCTGCTGTCTGTTGAGAACAAAGCTGCTGCTCCAGACTCTGATTGTGGTTCAAATCCCAAGCCTGTAATTCACAGAAGAATCAAAACCACTTCATTTCATTTGTCATGTGTTGATGATGCAGTTTAATTCATGTTTCTACATGGCACTGTAGCAGATTAGTTTGTCCAATCAGCAGTAATCCTGTCGTCTGTTTTCTTTTCTTTTTTAGACTGTAACCATGAAATGGTTTTGATTATTAGCTCGCTGCTTTAGAAATAGAACTTTTAATAAAGTCTTTGCTAACCTGAAATTCATTCCAGAAAAATAAAGGAGGTGAAAATGTGTCTCTATCTCTGTGAGTGGTTGAATCTGTTTGTCTGAAGTGAGTGATCATTCATTTTATATCAGATGTTTTTAGAAACAAAGAAGCTTCTCAAGCATTAAATGTCTTTACATTGAATTTGAATGTTTTGTCTGTTTTTAAGTATCAAAGTGCATTTGTTTTATCTCCCAATGTAAACATAGTAAATAACATTTTGTTAATGTTTAGTTTTTAAATGTCAAAACAACAGAGCCATTCAAGAGACTTTTACTTTGATCATTAACAATGAAAAGCATTCAAACTTCACCTGTAAGAAGCAGGAAATAAAGCAGGTGTTCAGTTTTATTTCATCATTTTTAAGTTTATTTTTTCTTACTGCTCTAAATGGGCCTCCACACAAACAAACTGCCTCTCATACTAGTTTCACATTTTCTCCATCAGCTTTGTTTGACATCCTGCAATGAAGACAAGAAGAAAACACTTTGTTCCTGTTTGTTTATTAGGATGTAAAACACCAGCTTGTTCAAACATCAGATCAATAAACTCTGTTCAATCAATCCATCCATTATCTTTTGATTTAAGACTACTTGATCAGAATCTCAGCTATGAAAAAGAAAATAATAACAATCTCATTGATTTCATACTTCAGAGTACATTTTTAATCAATTTAACTTCAAACAACAAAATGTATTCTGCAGAAAGAAATCATTCTATAAATTTAATTTGAGATGTTTCTAAATAAAATGTACAAAGTGGCGAAAACAATATCTACATGAAAGAAAAGGACTGATGCTTTCTCTCTTAAGACCCTTTAATTAGAACAAAAACAATCAGTACTCATTGTAAACACATTTAAAGTGAAGAAAAGTTGAAATGTTCATGCAGAGAAAACGTCAGTTCAGCTGAACAAAAATCCTCATGAGCAGTAAAGCCTCTGTGACTAAACAGAAACAGCTAAAGAGAGTTATTTAAAGAGACTCAAACATTTACAGAACAAGTGAGAAGATGTCAAAGTACCGCCCATAAAGTTTGATTGACAGGTGAACAATGTAACCACAATCAGCTCTCAGCAACAAACATGAATAATGATCAAGTTGAAGGATTAAAGTTTAACCCACTGTTCCTTTAAATGACTTCTGTCTATTTCAGTTTACACAACTCAGCACTAGATCCAGAATAAATAAAAAGTCCAGCATGTAGAGGCTGAGTGAATGTGGTCTGGACTCTGTGGAGGAGAGTCATGGTTTCAGAGATGCTGTAGAAGGACAGAATACCTGCTCTGTGATCCAGGTACACTCCTACTCTGGAGGACTGAGGACCTGAGACAGGAGTGTGGACATTGTTGTACCAAAAGATATAACTGTTGTTGTAACAATCTAACGCCCAAGATTTGTCATTGCCTCCAAATCCACATTCTTTCCAGCCTCCTGTTCTGCTGATATTCTTGTATGCGACTGCTACAAAAACTCTTCCTCCTCTCTCCAGTTCCCAGTAACAACGACCAGTCAGACTCTCTGGACTCAGGACCTGATACAATACAGTGAATCTGTCTGGGTGACTAGAATAAGACTGTTGTTGACCCGTGTTTGTTACTTTTCTGTTTCCATCAGATAATAACAGCTGTGTGTTTGCTGTGTTTGGATCCAGTGTGATGTCACATGAATATTGTAAGAAGTCAGCTCTGGTCTTGGGCTCTGGTTGTGACAGTAAAACATCCACTTCAGTCACTCTCTGTGAGATGTTTGTCCATTTCTCTCTCAGGACGTCCTCTAGTTTATCTCTGACTTCTGACACAGCTGCTGTCACATCCTCAAAGTACCTCAGAGGACGGATATTGATGCTGGATGAGTGTTTAGATTCACAGAGTGGTGACAGTGAGGGGTAGTCGTGTAGAAACTGGTTGTGGTCCTGTGTGTGTGAGAGCTTCTCCAGTTCAGCGTCTCTCCTCTTCAGCTCAGTGATCTCCTGCTCCAGCTTCTCCTGAAGCTCTCTGACTCGACTCACTTCAGTTTGCTGCTGAGATCTGACCTGCTGCTTCACATCAGAGCGTCTTTTCTCCATGAGACGAATCATCTCTGTGAAGATCTTCTCACTGCCCTCCACTGCTTTATCAGCGGAGCCATTGATATCCTCCACCTCCTGTTGAAGCAGCTTCACATCTTTCTCTCTGTCCTGGATTCTCTGCTGGATGTTTTGTCGACTCACCTCCAGCTCTCTCTGCTTCTCGGTCCTCTCTGCTGCAGCTGAGACTGTGTCGTGGCCTTTATGTTCATCCACAGAGCAGAGATAACAGATAGACTGCTGATCAGTACGACAGAACATCTTCATCACCTCATCATGACGAGAGCAGACGTTCTCCTGGAGCTTCTTGGAGGGCTCCACCAGCTTGTGTTTCTTCCATGAAGCCACTTCAAAATGAGGCTGCAGGTGTTTCTCACAGAAAGAAGCCAGACATTGTAGGCAGGACTTACAGGCTTTCAGTTTTCTCTCGGTGCAGACATCACAGGCCACATCTTCAGGTCCAGCATAGCAGTGATCAGCAGGAGCAGCTTGGAGTCCAGTCTTCTTCAGCTCCTCCACTAAAACTGCTAACATGGTGTTTTTCACCAGGACAGGCCTCACTGGGAAGGTCTGCCTACACTGAGGGCAGCTGTAGATTTTCTTCTCCTCCTCTTTATCCCAGTGGGTTTTAATACACTTCATACAGTAGCTGTGTCCACAGGGAACAGTCACCGGATCCTTCAGTGGATCCAGACAGATCGAACAAGAGAAGGTTTCCCGGTCCAGCTGAACTCCTTTCTGCGCCATTTCTCCTCTCAGTGACAACGACTGTCTGACTTTCACTTCCTGAGAACTGAAACTATTTCACCACTGATCTACAAAACATGTGTTTGTGCTTCAGCTGGTGTTGCTCACACCCATCTGCAAACTGTAGATCTAAAGGGGAGGGAACAAGGAAATACTGGGTCAGAGTGGAGCTGGCTGTGTTTGAGAGTAGGCAGGAGAGGGAGGGGTTATCAAGCTCTTTGAACCAGGAAGAGGAGCAGCACTGTGAATCTTTAACTTTGGTTCCTGCACATTTAATGGTCTTGTTTTCCTTCTTCTTATTGCAGGACATCAATTAAAAAAGTAGCTTGGCATGCGTTCTTGTTAAACTGTCAGTAGCAGTAGTCATAAAGTCATTTTTTATGATGAGAGGAAATGTTTTTAGACATCACTTTGGTTAGAGCATCAGAGTGGTGCATTTAAATCTTTCCTCTGAAAAGTAAAGCTGGTTTATTTCAAACCATCTACTATATATTTGAAGTGTAGAGTGTTCAGCACAGATTAAATTAATGAAAACATTTTCCTCTTTCTCTGCAGAAAAAAACCTCTCCTCCTTAGACATGTCTGCTCATCTGGAAACAGGAAAACAAGACGATCAAGTCGGAACATGTTCATGAGGGATGATCGTGACTCAAACACAAATCTGTAGTCACTGGTGTGTAAACATGCAGCAACCAAGTATTCAAGGAAGTTAATAAATGTTACAATAGATTTCTTGCTCTGACTCATTTTTGAGTTCAGAATAAACAGTACAGGTGACAGCACACACCCTTGTGGAGAAGCAGTAGAAGTGCACTTTAGGTCAGACAGGGTCCCATTTACCCAGACTCTCTGTGTCCTACTGGTAAGAAGAGGAGAATCCAGCCCACCAGATTTTTACTCAAGGCAAACTGTTCAAAACGCCTCCTGGTTAAGATATGAGGCATTCATGCACGGCCTGCTCCGACCTCTCCCTCAACGACAGCAAAGTGTGGACAACAGGAACATGAGGAATACAAAGTAGAAATCCTGCCTCCATATTATCCCATCTCCCCCTATCCCATTTTACTTCTGTAACACAACAACGAGTAAGGTCTCTACCTGCTCCTTTGTAAATTGTCTTGAGATAACAATTGTTATGAATTGGGACAAATAGAGATTGAAGACAAGACTGTCGTCACTGTAGCTAGTTGTACAAAGGGCAGGTTTACACATTCTTCTTCCTCCTGCTTTTTTATAGACTGCCCCATTAACAAAATGGCCGCACCTGGGTTAAGCACAACTCACATCGGGAGTTTCACTTTTCTCTTACCGCAAAGAAATACAAATAAACCCTTATCTTTAACATCAGATCATATACTCAACTAAATGAACTTCAAATACTTCAATTATATTTGACCTGTAACTTACATAAGAAAGAAATAATAAGACAGAAAACATTTCTCAGAAAACAAAACCCTTTCAGATGGTCTGCTCCAGTGATGTCAGCGATGACATCATCAACCCTATAAATACCCAGGAAGTGCTGAACCATCCCCTTTAACTGCATGGGAGCACATGGAGAACTGGACAACAGAACAAACAAAAGTAAGTATGGATAACAGACAAACAATGATATATTACAACTCCAGAAACTAAATAAAAATGACTGAACTGAATCAAGACTGTGTGTTTGCTTTAAGTTGATTTATACTTTCATGTGACCTGTAACTTCATGCTAACACAAACAAACCCGGGATAGTAAGTGCTGCAATGTTACACAAGCAAAAAAATACATCATTGCAAAATACACAACTGTAAAGAATAACATGATTTGATATTAAAAGAAGATTTAAGTGACAAGTGGAGAATAACAAAAGAGCATCTCACCCACTTTGTCACACTTTATTCAAAGGTCCAATCTGTAAGATATTTACTGAATAATGATAAAGTAATCTTACTATATGATCAGACATTAAGGAAACATGCTATGTTGAAGTGCTGTCTCCTCTGACAACCAAACAGCAGCCAGTATGTCCTCCATCTAACTTTAGATTCTGGTCCTTAATGCTCTGGATTTGTTTGGACCAGAGAAGATAGAATCAACAGGTGTTGCAGTGATGGAAG